CCATATGTGACCTTAAATGAACTTTATTATGGGATTAATATGGCTGAGAATCTGAACTTGCACATTAATTTTTTGTGAAAGTCTCCAATTTCTCCCTCCTCCCATTTTTATTTTTCCAAAATCTGTCCAACTGTTCAGATGCTGATATTAGGTCGCAAGTATTGAAACCTTCAACACAACGATGCCAAGACTTCTGATATATGTTATCTTATGAATATTATCCAGATCTTGAGTTGCTTGGAATGAGACAGCAAAAGATTTTTTTTTATTTAACTATTGTAGATCTGAAGAAATGCACTGAACATAACTTGTGTTTAATTTTTTCTACCCTTTTTGCTTAAGTCACCTCTTGAACCAATAGGTGTTTAAACAGTTGCCCTTGAGATGGGCACAGAGATGCATGTAGGTCTTCATGTAAATTGTCTGTTATTTTCTGTTGTATTTCAACCAACGTTTTTCTTGAATGGCAGCGTTTATTTAAAATATGCATTGAACTAAAACAAGTTCCAGTTATTCTGGTGCTTATACAAGGTCATTCAAAGATAGAATGACATGACCTTCATGTAAGTCGCCTACACAGTGTGACACAGAATCAGACGAATTTTCAAGCCTCTTTGACTGCACCATGAATACATTTCCTGAGTTGTTTGATATGTAATATATTTCACAAAATAAAAGAAAGATGAAGTTGTCCGTGTGCTTCATTAAGCACCTCACCAAGTAGATGGTAACAAAGAATTTGTGTATATTTCCATGCATTCTTAATAGCGACAATACATACGGAAGCATGTTCAGCTGCACCCCTACAGAAAGAGCCCCTAATAAACAGAAGGCTGGTTTGGACATGTGGAAAAGAGAATACCTACCGATCCTGTCAGGAATCAAACCCCAATTCCTCAGTCATCCAGCCCCTAACCCAGACACAGTGACTGAGCTATCCCTGCTCTGATATTTATGACAGGAGAATTAAACTAATGTCTAACTACAAGAAATGCCATCTGTGAAGGAAAGGGTGGTCACAAGGCCTTGTTAGCCTGAGAGAAAATGGGCCTCTGTAAAGGAGATTTTTACATGGTAGCGTTACGGAAACAGTGATGACTTCCAAGAACCAATTATTGTTGCTTCAATTTGGGACACCCCTGAAATGCTTCAACAGTGTCCTATTCAGCATGGCGGAGTGTACCCTCTGTTCTGAGAATGATGGAGCACAAGCGTACCTACCAAATAACTGAAGGCCCCTGTCCTCTATTAACAGGTGGTGTTGTTATATTTTACTTATTATTATTCACAATATTATAGTTATACTATGCGATAAAAACCAATACATGATTTTCTTTACTACGAGTAACGAGAGTAAATGACCACTCTGGCCCTACAATAAATAAACATGATAAAGAGTGACTTATCAGTATCGCAATGAATGCATAGGGCGACTACTCAGATTATGAATGGTTCAGTGAAAGAGCTGGCAGCAAATGTAGAAGGACATTTGGAACTGAATGTGTCACTTATACTCCCTGCAATATGCAAGTCCATACATTGCGATCACCAAGCACATGCTGAATCATTTTCTGAAATCACATAACACCTTGTAGCCTCCCGACTACTCTATGAATGAGGCTACGTCATACCTTGTATAGGCAAACTTGAGGGAGAATATGTTGTGCATGAGTAGGTCTGAAAATCTAACTGATTTATGAATGAATGAAGTACATTAATAACAGAATTCAGCAGCTTTCTAATGATGCCATGATGGTCTACATCACTGATGATGATGCTACCTTTTTCCTTTAATAGATGGAGCCAATAGTGTGAAGGATGTGAAGACGCTGCCTGGGGCAGATACTGACTCTGACCACAACTTACTGGATGCCAAGTTCCAAACCAGGTTGAAGAAAATTATAAGATTTCAAAAGCGCAGACCTAGATGGGATTTGGAGAAGTTATATGCTCAAAGACAAAGCGTGCAAGAGACTCTAGAAGAGAAACTCGGTGCAATTGAAGGTGAAAGTGGAAATGCTGAAGTGCAGTGGAACAATACAAAAGAATGAATGTTAGATACTCTCAGTGATTTGGTTCGTAAAGTTGAGAAGATAGCAAGAAAGCCATGGGTTACACAGGAGATGATGAGTAAAATGGAGGAGCGAAGGAAATGGAAGAATGTCAACAATGAAGAAGGCAGGAGGAAATACAGGAGACTGAGGAATGAATTGAAAAGAGCCACGGACAGGGCCAAAAAGGAATATCTTGAGAAGATATGTAATGAGATTATGGAATTTCAAAGAACAGGCCGTTATGATTTGATGTACATGAAGACAAAAGAACTAGGATGGAAAGAGAATCATGGGATTCAAAATGTTGGCATTGAAGACTCCCAGGGGAGTAGAATAGTAGATCAGAAGCAAGTGCTGAAAATTTGGGAAAAGTATATTACAGAACTATATGATCGACCTAATCAGCCACAAACCTTAGAAGGTGAACCGGTAGAGGAAGTAGATACAGAAGGGAAAGGACCATATATTTTACAAAGTGAGGTGGAAAAAGCTATCAAGGAAATGAGGAAGGGAAAGGCTACAGGAGATGATGATGTACCTGGAGATGTGCTCAAGTTACTGGGAGAAGGTGGTTTGAAAACACTGACAAAACTAATGAACACCATATATGAAAGTGGAGAGTGGCCCAAGGACTTTACAGAAGTTACAATGATTGCCTTAAAGAAAAAGACAAAAGCTACAAAATGCAGCGACCATCGCACAATAAGTCTTATTGCACATACAGCAAAGATAATAGCAAAGATACTTAAAAGAAGAATTGAAAGGAAAATAGAGGATGTACTTGGAGAAGATCAGTTTGGATTTAGAAGAGGAAAAGGAACCAGGGATGCAATTGGGATGATGAGAATTATAGCGGAACGAACTTTGGAGATAGATGAAGAACTTTGTGTTTGCTTCATAGACTGGCAGAAGGCATTTGACCATGTAAACTGGACCAAATTAATGCAGATCCTAAAGTAAACAGGTATCGATTGGCATGAAAGAAGATCGATTAGCAAATTGTACATGGATCAGAAAGTTAGAGTATGACTGGACAGAGGGGAGACAAGAAGTGTGCAGATTGGAAGAGGAGTTTGACAAGGATGCTGTTTATCACCAGTTTCATTCAACTTGTACAGCGAATGCCTTACCAAAGAAGCTCTGGATGGGCTTGGAGACTTCAAATTAGGAGGGCAAATTATTCAAACTGTGAAATATGCAGATGACCTTGTGTTAATGGCTAAGGAAGGAACTGTGCTACATGGTATGATTGATAGACTAAACGAAAGTGGAAGGTGCTATGTCATGGAAATGTATGTGGAGAAAACAAAAGTAATGAAAATTTCGAGACAACCAGCCCTAGTCAAAATAAAGATAGACTAAAAACAACTGGAGAATGTGAAATGTTTTAAATATTTGGGTAGCTTGTTAACAGATGATGGAAGGTGTACTAGTGAAATTAAATCCAGAATTGCCATGGCAAAAGCTGCATTTTGGAAGAAGAAGAAGAATCTTTTTACCAGCAAATTGGACTTAAACTTGAGAAAGAAACTGCTACATTTGGAGCACTGCTTTGTATGGAGCTGAAACTTGGACACTTAGGGCAGTAGATCAGGAACACCCTGAAAGCTTCGAAATGTGGTGTTGGAGAAGGATGAAGAAGATCAGTTGGACCAATTATGTGAGAAATGAAGAAGTGTTATTTAGAGTCAGTGAGCAGAGGAATATCCTATATGAAATAAAACGGAAAGCTAATTGGGTTGGTCATATCTTATGCGGTAACTACCTTCTAGAAGAGGTTACTGAAGGAAAGATAGAGGGGCGGATAGAAGTGACCAGAAGACGAGGAAGAAGACGTAAGACGATGCTGGATGACCTTGGGGACAGAAGAGGATATTTTCATTTGAAGGAGAAAGCTCTAGATTGCATCAAGTGGAGGAACTGTTTTGGAAGA